GATTTTCCATTTGTATTTTCTCATTCCTTAATTTCTCCAATTTTGCTATGTAATTTGTTTCTAATACTTCTGTTTCTTGTCTTATTCTTTCTTCAAATTTTAACATACCCTCCTTTAAAAATGAAATTTGCCTTCTGAAAGTTAAATTTCGTTACTACACTTTACTTGAAAATTTCTATATAACTGGAACATCTTAGCAAACATACTCGTAAAATTGAACTTGACACGTTACTTCATTATTGTGCCTTTCATTGATTGTGGATAATACACTTTCTAATTTAGATTTTTCTGTCTGCAATGTTTTTATTGTATTCTCCAGTTCTTCTGGTTCATTTGATACATTTTTTATTTTCTCACTTTCGTCAGATTTACAACTAGTATAAACTGATGTAGTACTGGATATTGGAGTGGGCTGAGCCATCAAGGTCTTGAAAAATAAAATATTAATTGTGCTTTAATCTGCTAAATCACTTTTTATTCTGGAAAAAATTAATTATTATCTTTAAGAGACTCTTACTTGTAAATACTGATTAATACGTTCCTGTTGTGTTCTTATTTGTTTTTCTAATAAATGTTGTTTTTCAAATTGTAATTTTAGCAATAAATTGAATTGCTTTTCTTGATTATGAAGTATGGAATGCTGCGCTTCCGATACCTTACCCAATTGTTCATTTTGTTGAGAAATTATACTAGCAGTCCTTAATTCATGTTCCTGTTGCTGCATAGTTATAATTGCAGCTTGTTGATTAAACTGTGCACCAGATAATAACGATAAATCTTCTAGGACTAACTTATTTTCGTTAACTACTTTAAAATCTGTTTCGATATCTGGATATTCTATAATTTCTTTAGTAGTAGGTATTCTTTCATCATTATTTGGTAATTTATCTTTTAAAGCTACTTGCTCCTTTATTTCATCCCTACTTTTGTCTTCTAATTTCTTTGTACCACCCAACCATTCTGGCAAATTTTCTTCCAATTTAGATTTCTGTGCAATAGAACTTTTAGCTGGTACATTCTTATCTGTTACCTTAGAAATAGAAAAATATTAAAGATATATTTAAAAAAAAAGCAAATAGTTCAATATGTTTATAAAAAGTTGATGTCTATATAGCTATGAAACTGAAATTAAGATATATGTACTAAATAGAAACAATGAAATGTGATTACCAATTCAATATTTTGTTCAGATAACAATTCAGTGGATAGTAAACCAAGAGGATCATTTACCACTTTGGCATTTCTTCTGCCTCTACGAGATTCTCTTGCAATTAGTTTACTTGATTGGTCAACAAGTTGAGGTGTTTGCTTTTGTGCAATAATTTTATGTTCTGCAGAATGTGTAAAATTTTCAAGTTTCGCATTTTTAATGGAAGATGAATGAGATTTGCTCTCAAACAAACTCTCTATTAGTGACGACCTTTTTGATTTATCACCTATTACATCTAATTTACTACTATCATGTAAATTCATTAAAGTATCTTCATCATTTTTAAATGCACTTTGTGGTTTTTGTTCATATTTTTCTGTACATAATTCACTTTGTAATAAAATAGAGTTACTTTTAGCTGTACGACTGTCTGATTTCTGTAAAAACAATTCATTTATATCTCCATGATCAAAATTAAGTTTCCTTTCTGATTCGTTATTTATTTTAGTATTTGTTGCTGATGTAACTGGTGTTTTGATCTTAAACAGATCTTCCATTAAGCTAGTTTTACTTCCACTTGTAAGAAAATTTTTTTTTTCTGTTAAAGAAGTTTCATCATCAAATAGTAAATCAGTTAATGAATCATCTTCATTAATATCTATACAAAAATGATATTTGTTTAATAATTTTAATAATTAAATTTTTTAATTCAATTAATTTATAGTAACTAAATAAATCGATATAACACTAAAAACTATATGCATAGCTGTTATACTTAAAAATAACAGATTAGTATTCAGTCTTTTATTATAAATTATAATAGTATACTTAAATAAAAATAATGATGTTATATTCTATTTGTATATTAAATATCTAAATAATGTATTTTCAAATCACCTTTAAATATGACCTTTTTTTTCAAATCTCCATCCAATTGAACATTAGAATCTTTAAAAATGTTTGTAGCAGATTGTGCCTTTTTAAATGAATTATTAAGTAGATCCATATCTAAATTATCCATATCTTCTAACACTTGTGTTAGTTCTTCTAAATTTGTGTTTGAAGTTTCAGTAATATCAACCATCTAACATAAGAAACAATAACATGACACTAAACAAGTAATAAGTTTCTATATTTTAGATAAATTTGTTAAAATATTCAGATAATATAGAAGTAAAAGAATTAATACCTTTAAATAACTATATGTCTTTTACAGTACAGATACATAATCAGTTAAGTTTTTATAAACTATCACTGATTTATTAACTAAAAAATTGGAAATGTAACTATGAATTTTATTTCTTCAAGCTAAATTACATAGGTTTGCAATGTTTTGGAGTTAAGTGAAGAGTTACTATAGGAACAGTCAATGAAGATGAGCAAATCCTAGAGAAGATAAAGAAGTGATTAATATATGTTACATTGTTCATAGTACAGATAATCTAACTCTAAAATAATTTACAATACTCACATAAAATACAAATTATGAATTTTTTTAAGAACTATACAATTATAATATTTAGTTTGTAACAAAAGATATGCTGTATTATGTTCTGTGTTTTCCATTATAGTGTACCAATTATTTAATTATACTGATCTTTACAAATAGTACTTATAAAACCTGTAAAATTTATTGCATACTACAAACATATAAAATTGTTTTCAATGAAACAATATCATTTTAAAAATTAATGAAATGTTTTAAAACATTTTGTATTTTCTCCTTACATTTTAAATCAATCTAAATGTATAAAGAATCATAACATAATATTTTATATAAATATAAATAGCATATATAAAGCAACATATACTTCAACATATTTAAAAAAACTTTCAAATAATTTATAAATTATATTACATGAAGTGACTTCATATTACAAAATATGCGTATTATAAAATTATTATTATATGTGTATTAAAAATTATTATAAAGTTATTATACAAATTTTGTATACGAATTTGCCGAACATTTAGGCATTTGTTCATTCTTTATTTTATAATTTGTTAGAATTCATATAAATCTGTCACTCTAACTCCGGTTACGCATGCTCATTCTCAGGTGTATATGATAGTGGGGTGAGAATAAATGATAGTAGGGGACGTTCATGGAAAGGGAACAGTTTAGTACCGCATATAGAACTTCCATGTTCGCTCAAATCGATAATACGTTGGAAACTGTTGATATCACACGAATGTTTGTACTCAACGAACCTTCTCTTTGATTATTTTCAATTGCAATAAAATAGATTTCTTACTTAGAGGAATTTGCCATGCAGAGTGTTATTAATTCCGTAAAAGGCACTGCGCTTGGTGTTGCCGAATACTTAACCCCTGTACTAAAGGTATGATTGTACGTAAATGAGATATTAAAAATAAATATCTTAACAAACAGTAAGCAAGTAAAATATATATAAAAAATAACATAAAATTTTATGTAATAAACATGTCATCGTCTTTTATTATTTAATTATTTATTTATACGATAAGATATATTCTTAATATTACTTATAATAATTTAGTATTTTTTCATAACATTAACTGTCCTGTCATTGTAAAGATTTTATATCTTTCAGCGATAGATATTATAATATTCTTTTTATTCTTTTGTTTTAAGTAGAACATTTATTTTATAATATATACAGAATATTTTCGTTTATAGTAACGTTAAAGATCATATTGTATTTAATATATTTAAATGTTTTTCTGTAATGAAAAAGTGATACATCAAAATAAAATAAGTTTTGAAAATTTACTTTTCTTATTATACATAAGTCTTTGTTTTTATAGAATTTACAGAGCAAGTTAAGTTATAGCTTTTCACTTTTTTTTATATATATGTGTTCATTGCTTACAATTAATTTCAATTAGTACATATGTACATATATATACATATATATATGTGTGTATGTTTGTATATATATATATTTTTTTTATGCTTTTGTCAGTTTGCTTACATTGTTTATAGTTTTTTATATTACATTTATTTGTATCTTTTGTTTTTTTTTCAATATTTTAATCTTTATTATGTTTAAGTTTGGTGAAATAATATTAATTTAAAAACTAAGATTTTATATTATATTGCAAATATAATTTATAACATTAAAGGAAAGTAAATTTCGAGAAACTGGTGTTTTAACACCAGAGGAGTTTGTGGCAGCAGGAGATCATTTGGTACATCATTGTCCAACATGGCAATGGGCTACTGGTGATGAAGATAGGGTGAAATCGTACCTTCCTAAGAACAAGCAATTCTTATTAACACGGAATGTTCCTTGTTCTCGTAGATGCAAACAGGTATTATTGGTTTTATAAGAATAATGCGAGATTATCAGTTTGTATAGTTACAACTTTTCAAAATAAATGCTAAACATTTTTAAATATTTCTGTATTCTTTTAAACAGTTATGATTTAAAAAATATGTTAAACAAATTTTTTTTTTAATTGAATTTTAGATTGAATACAGTAAAGAGCAAGAATGCATTATAGAAGAAGATGATCCGGAGGGTGGTTGGGTAGATACACACCATTATGATACTACTCTTGGCGGTGTCGAAGAAAGAGTATCAGAAATGACATTAGAAGAAACACAACTTTCTCAGTCAATCAATGCAGGTGAACATAATGACAACGACGACAACGATGATGATGATGATGAAGATGCTGCAGATATGGAAGCTTTTGAAGTCAGTGGAATGTTGGATGAACAAGATAAGGTACTATTTGTACAATAATTATATAATTATTAGGTCATCCCATAAGTTTGTGTCATTTATTTTTCTACCATATAAAATATTATTTTATTAAATATAAAATTTTTATAACTTCACAACCTGTTGCTTTTGAATACCTTTTACTGTCTAAACTGAAGCAATTCAAACTCGTATCATTCTGTGATTACAAAATGTAACACAAAAAGTATTAACAGAAAGCGATGCGATTTTATGGGACAACCTAATAATATCAATAGCATGTATTTTATTTTAAAAAGTATTATAACCTAATTGTATTTAAACTAAAAAGTTTGCAGCAGAAACTACAAAGAAATCTGTGAAAGAAAAGTGGGAACCATTTTCTGAAGGAGAAATCATTCACACACGCACATATGACTTATATATCACATATGACAAATACTATCAAACACCTCGATTATGGCTTTCAGGATACGATGAGGTCTGTTTTTCTTATGTAATAATATAAGTAATTATGAAATCATAATCATGGCATATAAACATTACTTATAGTATTTAAAATGATTTCTAATTTTAACATAAACACTTTTTCCGAAAGAATCGTAAACCCCTCACAGTAGAAGAAATGTATGAAGATGTAAGTCAAGACCATGCCAAAAAAACTGTTACAATGGAAATTCATCCTCATATACCTGGACCTCCAATGGCTTCTGTTCATCCCTGCAGGTAATTTCAAGTAATCAACTTATTTTTAAACTCATATTTTATTATTATAGTACTTCTAACTTATTCGTGTGAAATTTCAGACACGCAGAGGTAATGAAGAAAATTATTGAAACAGTAATGGAGGGTGGTCGTGAACTTGGTGTACACATGTACTTGATAATATTCCTAAAATTTGTGCAATCTGTAATTCCTACAATTGAGTATGATTATACGCAAAATTTTATGCTAATTGCATCTAGTTAAGAGCTTTATAAATTTCTATTGTACCTTGAAGATGATCGTGACTTTAGTTTTTAAGTATATAATAAATAACAAAACTAAGAGGACTGTGAAGCATATAAAATAATAAACACGCTTAAGTTTATAAAATTACAATATTTGTACCCTTGAAAAAACTGTTAAGATAACTGTTAAGATAAGATCAAATTTGGTTTATCTTATTTTTATAAAACATTCCATAAAAATAATTTATAATCTTTCATTTTGTTATTTTATCATTTTTATGTAAATACTGAATTACTAGATTTTCCAATAAACGATAAATTTAATACAAAATAGTATTTATTTATTATTTAAAAGAATAGTATATAATATGAAATAATTTGTTACTTATTCAACTTTAAATTTTGGATAATGATATAAATATTCATATGTTTTTTTACTAGGGTTTGTTACTTTTACTTGGTTTCAAAATGGTGGCAGTTCAGTGTTTCATGTGTAACTGTTATTCGTCATGTTCAATGTTTGTGAGTGAAAATTTTGTTTAAATCTTTTTTTATCTTTTTTACAATCTGTTTGTAACATGTTGATCTATTCGTTACATACTGTATCAAATACATGTTTTTCATAACTTAATTTTTTATAGGTTAAGGAAAACGTACGGTGATAGAAATTAGTGTTTGAAGTAAATACTTTATGCTTTAAAAGAGTACTCTGGTAAAAATGACGACTTTATATGATCAGATAAAACTTCTTTACGATCAGTCTTTATATTCAAATGTTATTTCATTAGTAAGTAAATGCAACAAGTGATTCTAAATATTCTTTTTTTTATAATGAAAACAATGTGATATTGTATTTAAAAGTGTAAAAATAATCGTAATTAACACATTACCTACCAGTGATTGTTCAATATTTCTTTAACAATCAACAACTGAGAGCTAAGGACTTCTTTATTAATTTTATAATAATAATAACAATTACAATAGCAAAATAATAAATCCTTTCAAATAACATAATGAACTAATTTTGTATAGTATTATTACTTAAAAGAAAAGGTATTATACTGTTTTTCAATCTATAGATTGCTGGTAGATAAAGTGTTAATATAACATGTAATTGACTTTAACATTTAAATTACTTTTTGAGAACTTTGTACATCCAATAGAATTATTTTATACTTCAGGCAAATTTAGTATTGTCGCTCAGTGAACACAATTCAGATTTACTGCCGATACATGGAAAGTTCCATATTTATGTTTATTATGCAGACGCTCATTTCTACTTAGGAAAATATAAACGAGCTGAAGCCCTTTATAAGAAATCATTGCAATTTCATAAGTGTTTGTTAAAGTCTAAGGGTGCTACAAAACCTTTAGAAGGACAAAAAGATCTTCCAACGGATGTTGATATAAAATTTCAAATACATTTGTGTTTACTAAAATTAAAAAATTCTTTGGAAGCACTACAAGTCTTGCAAAGCATTCCTGGAAAACAGAGAACTCCAAAAGTAAGTTCAATAGATACAAATTTCTGTATCTATTTTTATATTAATAAAATATTAATAAACTTATTTTTTATGTTTCAAGGTTAATATGGCTTTGGCAAAAATGTGCCAAGAGCAAGGAATGAAACGAACGGCTATTACCACATATAAGGAAGTTTTAAGAGAATGTCCATTAGCATTAGAAGCTGCAGAAGGTCTGCTTTCTCTTGGAGTAAAAGGGATTGAAGTAAATTCATTAATTGTAGGTTGCGCATCAAGTTTATCAAATTTAGATTGGTTGAATACTTGGATCAAAGCACACGCACACATACATAATAGAGAATATACTCATGCAGTATCAACATTAAGGTCTCTAGACAATGTTAATTTGCTGAGAGATAATTTTAATTTATTAACAACAATGGGAGAGTGTTATTACTATGCCGGAGATGATAAAAATGCTTTGTTATGCTTACGAAGAGCTAGAATCATAGAACCAGACGTTATGAAAGGGTAATGGAAATTTTATTGATAAATGCTTAGCTAATTTGTTTCAAAGATATAATTTTAAAAATATATTTTTAATATTAAAATATAATTTTAAAAATATATTTATTAAATAGGGTTGATATTTATGCTGCAGTATTATATAAAAATCATCATATTAAGGAACTTGAAAGACTGATACCTATAATAACAGCAAGTAATGAATGTACTGGAGAAATATATGTTGCTATGGCATATTCTCTTTATGCTGCTAGAAAATTTAGTAGAGTAAATACTTTAACCACACAAGCTTTGAATTTGAATCCAAATGATATAGAGGCAACAATACTTCGGGGAAATATACTTCTGGAGCAAAAGAAATACCAAGAGGCATTGTTTTTCTTCAGACATGCAGTAGGATTAAAACCATATCGTTATGAACCTCACAAAGGTTTAGTAGATTGTCTTGTAGGAATGCACAGACTACGAGAAGCTCTTAACATCGCAAGTGGATCTTGTAAACAACTTGGACATACTGCAAGGGTTCTCACGGTAATTATATAAATCAGATTTAATATGCAAAACCATAAATTTTGTTCTGTTTGATATCATGAAATATGTAAAATATGTACCAAATTTTAAAATATAATTGTAAATATAATAACATTTTTTCTACAGCTCTATGCATCAGTACTTATGAAAGATCCAGTTTCCGTTGGTAAAGCAAAAAATCTTTTAGAAAAGGCATTACTTCAAGATGAAGTGTACCTACCTGCAGTTTATTTGCTGGCTGAAATATATGAACAAGAAATGAACTTGGAAGCTGCAATTGCATTACTTGAAAGACAAGTGGAAATTCAATCGACGTGTAAATTACATCAGATGCTTGGGGATCTTTGGGCCAGAGTACACAATGAGGAAAAAGCTTTAGATCACTATGCCATTGCTTTAAAGTAAGTTTCAGATAAACGAATTATGATATAAAAGAAAGCTTATTTAAATTTTACTAATATTTATGATTGAAAATTTTGTAAAGAAAAACATTGAAAATACTTAAATTAAATTGATGTTTAAAACCATAGTCTAGATCCGAGGAATAGAAGAGCATTGGAAGGTATGCATAGGCTGGATAATTCTTCAAACAAGTTAGATTCGGCATATTATATGACCGTGGGTGAAGCACAAACTGACACAACATATGATGTTGGTGATGGTTTACCAGATACTGATAACGATGAAGCACCCGATGAAAGTGAAACTGAAGCCGTGTGGTCTGACATGGATCTTGAAGCAAATAGTCAATAATGTAACAGAAAATATTAGAAAACTGAATAGTTTTTAATACAATTAAATTAGAATTATAATTAATTTTTACTGTATGATATTTTTCTTTTTGTTACCTATTTGCTTATTATAAAAAAATAAATGTATGAAATCTTTATTTCTTGAAATAGAATTCACGAATAATAAACCTTAACTATAAGTTAGTTTTTACAGAAAATTGATAATAGCATTTCGTAATTTTTTTATATTGTTACGAAATCTTATAATAAAAATATTACGTTAGCAAATGTTTCATTGAAATACTTTATTTTGAACATTTTTGTTCTATTTCAAAAAGTAGTAATGCTGATCGATACAATTTTAAAAATTTATGTGTATTATACATTTAGCTTGAACAAAGCAGATTTCAAAAATTCTTTCTCTTTCAAAACACTAAATTTATTACAATTCTTAAATATTTTTGAGAGTATAGTAATTCCGTTTCATTACAATTAGTTGTAATAACCGTGAATATTATTGAAGGTACTTGTCATTATTTTCTAATCAGCATAATTTGTAATGAATAGAAAAAACATTTCTAAGTTTTAAAAAAACACCCACGTACATAAGATATATGAAATCAATCACAATTTTTATAACAAAAATTATATAAATTTATAATGCTTGTCTAGTTTTGAAAAAAGCAATAGAAAAAAGTAGATACGTATTTAATTCGATCTTTCATATTTATTCGTCCAAAAATTACAGTTTCGTTTCCTACGATATCATTCATTTTCAGAAATATTGTGTACACAGAATAAAAGAACATACTACAGATAGTTTATTTACACACTATACAGGATTGGAGATTCATGGAATCAATAATACTATTAATGCGCGAATTTATTAATCGACGTGTATCGTGTATATGCTTTTTTCCCTATTTTGAAAAAAACAGGAATCGCGCAAAAGACGAGTTGGCGGGGTTATTCAATGAAGAAAAGGGTCGTACTTGTTATGACGTTCTTTTAATTTCTCCCTTAAAATAAGTAATGTCACGTGTAAGTACGTACCCTTTCTACAGAAAAAAGAACGTTTGGATTCGATGTATTAGAAAACGCAGAATTCAGTCTTAAAGGTAGGAAGCACGCGTATTTCCTAAATAGCTCGCTTTGGTCTTCGAACTGCGTTCATGTTATATGTATGTATATGTTTGTACATGTATTTCATCGCATCATCTTTATCTGATAATGTAATATTTATAAACAGCTCAGCAAGACTGTATTTAGTAATGATGCAACTGATATACATTTAAAGAATTTTCACAACGCGAAAATTAATAAATAGGAATGACCAGAAAATAGTTGGGCATTAAACTTGAAGAACGCCTCTACAGCACGATCAATTTATATAACCGACCGCTATAGTGATCATTCTTTACTATTCACAAGAAAATAAATTCGTCATCGCAATGATACACGTTATTTTTTAAACATTTACCTATACATATTCCCTTATCCGTGATTTTCTCGTGCAATCTTTTCATTCCGGCTTTCTACGAAAGTTTTATTCTGAGTCCCTAATCCTTCTGAGGGAACAGTGACTGAATAAGAGGAAGAAGAAGACGATGAACACGAGGAAGAAGTTGAAGAAGTTGAAGAAGTTGAAGAAGATGAAGAAGACGAAGAGGAAGATGGCTCGTCATTAAAATTCGAAGTGACAGTTGGACCAGGAGATGGACTATCCACAGGTCGAAAAGAAAACCCAGAGGAATCGAGACTGGAACAAGATTCTGGAGTTCCGGCCGAGTTAATAGTTGAATGGAGACTAGATATTGCCACATCCAATCTGTATAGAAAAAGTATTATGAGTATCAATGATTAAAAACTCCTTTTTATCGTATCAAACATAGAAGTAACGACGATACCTAGACGTGGCCGAAGTTAATAAACCAGAGGTACGTTTTGTTGGTGGTTGTAATTGATGATCCATTCCAGAGTCATCCAATTCAAACTTTCTTTTAACTGAAGCTAAACAACTTGGCCGTATCGCAATAGGACTTAAACTTCGCCTAAATAATACAATGTATTTCAATACACTTTACTATATCATAAAAAAAATATCTTTCTTGCAAGTAAATTATATATACCTGGTAGCAAAAGCTTTCCTAGTAGGACTAGGTGATAAATTATTCTTCCAAGCAACTGCGTGAACACCAGGCGAATAACACTGTCTCTGACCAAAATTAGATCTTGTCGGCGATGGTGAAGAATACGTAGTTTGACCATTTACAGACAAGTTGATACTGAGTGGATCAAGCACTCGTTTTGCAATTGGACGTGATTCTATTTTAAATTGTAACGAAGTTGATTCTGAATCTTTGAAAGATAGTCCTTCCGCTTCAATTGTGAGATCCTCCCAAGACTGTGAGATTTGCATGGCACTGTGAATTTCTTTCTCATGTGCTGCTTCACGACCAGCCACATCGATACATTCTTCTTGTCTCAGCTGACTGACGCGTGGAGTTAATCTAGGAACAGTTCCAGAACTCTACAAAAATAAAGTTTCCATAATTTTATGTAAAACTAATCATATGATAATTAAAACTAGACATAAAAGATTTTAATTTCTATTCTTTCATATTTTATGTATTTTATATATGGTTTATCCATTTAATATTGCGATAGATTATTATATAATTTCTAAGATTATAGGAAAGTACAGAAAATTATTATGGATATATAAGAAAATCATTTTCTTACACTAGTGCTGAAGCGTCGTATGCGAGGTGAATTTGAAAATATATTAAAATTCGATGGTACGTCCCTAAAAATAATAAACATGAATCTTTTTGAAATAACCATTGCTAGAATTTTGATTAAATTAATCCACATAAATTCCACATGAATGTAACATTGATTACATAGTTCTTAACGTTTTGTATAAACGTTAAATATAAGTTTAAGGGATAACATAATAAATACCTTGGTGCAGTAGCAGAAGGTGATGTTACGGACATTGTTGCACTAATTTTGTTGATCATGGGTGCACTATTAGATCGTTTCAAACCAACAACTGTACAATCAACATCCATGATCATACAAACCAGCTATCTGATGGTGCATCTGTATGAAGACACTATTCAAATAATCGAAGTACATTGGAGCATACACAACAATGTAATTCACTCAATAGAGAAATAACTAACTTTTGGCACAAGGTAAATTATTCCTTTTTCCACTGGTGATGTTCGAAGATTCAATATGAGAGAATCCTGTTCTTTGGCACAAGAATTGAGAAGATGCCGCATTTGAGCTTTCATTTATACTCCGCCGCTCCAATTTTCCTTATACAATTTGACACGCTGTTAGCGCGAAGTCTTTATACTCAATCTTGAACTTCGAAAAGCAATATAACAGCCTAAGAAAACTACCGAAGAATAAATACTGTTGAATTGAAAGTATGCATAACAAGAGAATGAAACATTAAAATGCAAAAATTAATTTTCGACTCTTTTTAATTTCTAGTTCAATAGCAATTACCGTACATAAACCGGGTTAGAAATCGTAACTTCGTTTAATTTCGCAACGTTTGATTTTCCAATAGCATCACTAGTAGAAGCGAATTGTAATTTCTACGAGTGCTTGGTAGAATTCCTGTAGTTTCTTATAGCAAAGCACGCGTATGTCGAATCTGACTACGATCTCTTTGCCTCCTTAGGAAATATGTATCTCTCGTGATTAAGAAACACACCGAATTTGTTGGTAGCCTTGTGTCTTCGTTTAAGTCCATGGACCTAAGAATACATGAACGTATCGTAAAACTTAGCTACTGTATAATTTATCAGAAAGGGGAAAGCAGAGAGGAGAATCGTAGTATCTTCAGTGATCCTTTTCTAAAATGATTGTTTCTCGCTCTTTCTTTCAAAAGGCGCAATATTTGAGTATTTTCAATAATTTTGTGAACACTGAAATTATTCGATCTATTGTTGTATTAAAAACAAAACACTCGAAATGTAACAATATACATGTTTTTTTAAAACTAAACTATAAATTTGTAAAACAAAAAAGGAATTAATTTCTCCTTGTATGAATTTGTATGATCCATGGTGTGAGATGGGGGTGCTTTTTTTGTGAATGCATTTTCAATCATACTATTCTAAAGTAACGTCCAAAAGGCTCATTCAAACGTTGCTATTTTTTTCATTATTTAATAATATATACATTTTAAATATTTAAAAATTTTTATTTTAATTATTAATAAAATCTTATTGCCGACCTTATTATTATAAAAATAAAATAATATACTTTAATTTAAGCGATTATTTTATATATTAATTTGTAAATTTTTATTATAATACAAATATAC